TTGACAGTAAGACCTCTGTATATACATATATAAATATATATATATATATTATATTATATTATATAGACATATATCAATCAAGATAGAGTATCTTGGGCTATAATTCTTTTGGCTTTTGCAACGTGCACTGGGGCAGACCTGTCTCTTGGCTAGCCCTAAGGCCTCAAAAGGACGGTGATGACTCCTTGACGTTGTGAGAGCTGTTGCGAGAGCCGCTAATCTGTCCGGTTTTTGAGCTCGCCACTCATGAGATCGCAGGGACACGACGGAAAGCTGAAGATGATGATGATGATGAGGCCGGACTGTAAAACTCAAAAATACTTGTCAGTATTCCTGTGAAAGCCATTGGGGCCAACATGTGGGCACCAACCAAATGAGCTTGCCTGCAGAAGCAGGTTGTATATATATATATATGTATATCTTTCCGTCAGTGAAGAATCGAGAAATCTATTGCTGCGAGAGTTTCTCTCAAAGCAAGAAGCCCACTTCAAGCGTTTATGCTTCTTGGGTTGCAAGACTCGACAAAGGGCCGATTCTAAGTTCGCACTCTTATCTTGTATATAATTTTGATACTTGGTTTGCAAGATGGTATCAGGTTAGCGAATCAGCCGAGCAGGTGAAGTTGCAGGAGGCAGGAACAAAGAATTGTAAGCTTTGAAATGGGTGCGAGGAGTCATAGCGATTTTGACCAACTGCATGATTTGTGCCAGCATGGACTCTCGAACAGGGTGGGTAGCGGCCTTCATGTAAAAAGTGGATCTTGGTAGAGTACATCAAGGAGCAGACTCATCGATCCAGGTGCGACTCATCCAAAAGGAGCAGTGGCAGAAACCCCGGGGCGTTTGCCTGTCGTGTTTGGCGGTCTGGAATGGGCGACGTGAAGACACGTTAACACCGGGGCTGTTTTTCCCTTTTGGGAAAGGTTTTGTGAGTCGTGCTTAGCTTTTGTCATAGTTCAGAACCGAGTGAGTTCTGCTTCTGGCTGCAGAATCATTACTTTAAGAATTATCACCCGAAACATCAAAACACTCTTTGCGCTCAGATTTGCCAGGTTGTGCCTGCACCAGAGATGGTTAAGCAAGTCGAACAAGAAGAGGAGGATTGGGGAGCCTTCTTGGTCAAGAGGAAAACTGGTGTTTGCCAACACACTATATCAACTACTGTGATTCCTTGAGATCATAGACATAGAGAGTACCGTTCCAGCTCCAAGGAGGACAAGGAGCAGTGGGGCCTTTTGGAGAAGTCCTTCTCCGGCACAGCTGGGCAGAAGGGTCCCGATCATCATCTTGAGGCTGGGAGAAGACCATGAAAGGAGCTGCAAGAAGCTGCCAGTTTCTAGAGTTCTTTGTATTTTTCTCCAATCACCAAATATTGTTCTAGAGTTTGGAAAGAGGAAGATTCTCCCAGCTTTTGCGGCAGGCCTACTTAAATGAAAGGCTCTTTAACAAGAACAAGGAGGAGCGGTGGCAGAGCGCCTTTCTTTGAGCGCGCTCAGACAGTGGACAGTGGTGGAAAGGGCTGCTGGTCTCACTTTGTGGGAATACAAGAGACAGATTGAGTTTTTGTGCCTCAACCATGTTGGACTTTTTTTTGATGCTTGAGGAGGGACGGTTTGAGACATACCGATGTTGGGGGTCTTCCCTGGCTGAGGAGGAAGAAATGAAAGAGAAAACTCGGGAGGAACAACTCTACGAGGTGCCATCCAACCTGCAGGCACGCCAGGAATTCATGCTGAACACAACATGCTCTCAAAGACCCTTTGAGACCTTTCAGTGACACTTTGGATTGAATATTCTTCGACATATATCTACCAGTAGTTGGATTCTCTCTAGTCATGCATCCTTTAAGTGAAAGAGCTATCGCTAGCTTATCTACTTTTCAAACTGAACTTCTAGATACAAGGATTGAATTTCCTGTTCCCCTTCCATGGAAAAAGAACAGTTGTGTTGGCCACACCTCGTACCACAACTCCTCAGGTCCCTGACGCAGCAGCAAGTCAGGTTGACAAGTATGGGCCTTGGCCGCTGAATGCATTTGAAAGCAACCTCTTTTGGAGAAACTTCCATTTGTGAATTTACATTTATATACATGCAACAACGTTTTGTTGATAGGTCGGTTACTCATGCAAAGGAGCAATGCTTGCTGCTGTTTTTGGCAGGATGAGTTGGGTGGCTGGCTTGGCAGAGGCAGGATGCTGTGAAGATGGAACTGTCCTGCAAACATTCCTGACAAACGGCTTTGTGCTTGAAATTTCTCTTAGAAAGCAAGACCTTCGGAGAGGTCGCCCTGCCTGTCGAGTACAAGCTCAAGAATATTGAGGTGCATGGCTTGATCCCACCTTAGAGCATCACCATACAGTCTGTCAAGTTCTTTGTTCATTGACATTAGAACACCAATTGCACAGATGCTGATAAAACAATGCATCAACAATGCAGCTGTCCATGGGTTGCAACACTTGAACTTGCTGCAGATCTGGAGAGTTTGGTGATCGAAGTATTGGCAACTCCTTGTGGAGCCAGGAGACGGAACGAGCGAAACGGGAGTACCTTTATGGAGCAAGCGCCAACTCGAAGCCGTGCTTCTGCCTTTCTTGGACCTCTTTCAAATTGAACATGCTTCGATGCTTTGTGTGACTGTCACACAAACTGGCATTTTGGCTTGGCTGTGCCGAACTATCTGCCAGGGGTGCGGTTATTGAGACGGATGCAGTCACCCGAAAAGCTTTCGGATCGAGGCGAGGCATGCCTGGTCGAATCCCAATGTTTCGTGCTAGTGAACAGCGCATACTTCTCTACTGATGTCATTGCAGCTGAGGGAGGTGTTTTGAAATTGTTTTGGTTTGCTTTGCAGAGCTTAGAGCTTGGAAGTTGACTGTGCTGGTTGGGGTCTACTGAGAATTGAATAGAATTGATGGTAAAGAGGACGGCAGATGGATCAGCATCTCTTCAATAGTTTGCATTCAAGCTTCGGTGGTCTGGTTTAAAGTGGTGGGAGCCAGGTTTGCCAATGTGGGCAGCAAAGATGACTCCAAGGCGTGCGAAATCATCTTGCTTGCGGTAGAGCGGATTGCTTGAGCACCTCCCTCCCTCCCTCTCTCTCCCCCTCTCTCCCTCTCTCTAAAACAAGTCACAACTGCTGCGTTGCGGTAGAGATCAAGCCAAGCTGTGCGTAAGCACCATGCTGTCACTCTTCATTGAGTAGATGATAGAATGAATGCCTGTGCTACAAACATGGAAGAAGGATCCCCATTTGTTTTGTGTTTGCAGAATGAACGACTTTGTGGCATTCATTGAAGATTTTGCCTCCACTCTCTCGCCCAGAGTGCAACTGA